TTTTTTTTTCCTTTAATGAAATCTACTAGTTTGCCCTATTACTTCAGCGAAAAAATTATCTCGATTGATAAAATCCTTGCGATTCTACAGGCGTTTAAAGTTGTAATTTCTTGCCCCACGACCGAGCAGAGCGGGATTTGGGTCGGGCTTGTTGCGACGTCATCGAAGGACTGCTCAAAATACTCCAGAGACGTTTGACTGGGTTTCGAGCGCTGTGAAAACAGATTTGGGGTATTTGTGCTTCATATTTTATCAAAAATGGGCAAGACTGTTAAGTGAAAGAACTGTACCATCTAGCAATACAATTCGGAATCTAGCTACGATTAGCATGGCTACGATGTATATATATTTTTTCGATTTCGAAGTGCGGGTCGCCAGTCGAGCCCGCCACACTGCAAGTTACGATCCACAATTTGCCGGCCCATTTGGCTAATCTACTAATCTACATACAACGCTTCTTTAAGTACTCTTACCGAACCCTTGATAGTTCATGATAACGAGAGCATATTTCCCCACTAATTATTCAAAAACGCGGAAAAATTCGTCAATTAGCATCAAGTCAATTAGCATGTACGAACATAAACATTGATTGCGAGTTTCACAAATTTGCACTTTTCGTACTAGTAATTGAAATCCTTCGACAAGATTTTGACAAAAGGTTCAGTATGGTATCAGTTAAATGAATACATTTCTCCTTCACTGTTCTTTTGTTTCAAAAGTCTTTTTTGCGTACGCTAATAACCTGAGTGTTGCGATTCCGTCCAAAACCTTCTCCTCCCGGGTCTCCTTTAGCTTTCTTTCAGCGCTTCAATCTCCGTCGGTGAAGTCGAACCTAAATAGTTTGTTTTACTTTCCTCATATACTTATCAATGCTTGATTCGTTTTAAGTTGAAACTGAGATATATTTTGTCGCTCAAAGAACAAAACAATTGTGTATGCAGACGAGCAACTCAAGCGCCGATTGTCGGCCCTCGTGCGTGTCGTTGTGTATGAAATCCACTAATACATAGCTAGTTCTGCAGTTCGAAGCCTCACTTATCTCAATCGCTGCGCTGTAGGACTTGGGTGAGGTTGATTATTCGTTTAGAAAGCTCTCTATTTCGAGGACGAAGAAAACTCGATGGGTATAATTTGCCGTATAATTATCTCACCTACAGTAGTTTCCATTATTTTGGTCTGGGACATCTGGGGCTCATTTGAATTGAATAGCTAGTCAGATGACTTCCAGCTTATTTCAACGATTCGTGTCATATCTACCTTGACAATATCGAGCTTCGCACTAGAAGCTAGGGAAGAATGTACGGGCCGTGAAAATCCTAGGTTTTTACAGAAGCGGCGAACCTGACATCGAAGAACTGCTCGATGTCCGACTTCGCACAAGTCTGCACACTGCTTTCGGCTTTTTCTCGCTTCTGGACGAGTGTCACTGGGATATAGGTATTGAATGAAGAGGATTGCTCTTTCCTAAGCATGCTGTACTGCGAATCCCTCGAAAGACACATCTTCCTTGTATTCTGCAACGATTTTGAATTACACTAGTTCATGTTCACATACATTCTTCTTAAAAGCAAAACATTGTTGACCATTGTTGGTCGTTCAATGACGTCAGAGGCCAACTCACCTCATTCTTCGCTATTGCTCTGTCATGGTCACGGAATGGGCTTATTTTACGGGCTTCAAAAATTCATAGGAAATTAATGAAACTATCTACAACGATAATTTTTTCGCAGTGGTAATCAGAAAAATGAGGAGATATTCATGTTATATGTTACTTCTGTTTATTTGTTGTACATATGTCTATGTTATGTATGTTACTGCGTAAAGACATAAATGATATATGTTGTTTTATAATCCATCAAATATTTTCGCTCGCGCGCGATTGGTCTAAACACGTCACATGACCGAATATTCCCAGCTAAAACTGGGGAATATCGGAGAATATTCTCCAATTTTCAAAACTGCGCGTGTTGCGAAAACGATTTGAAGGATAATAAAAACTATAGCCTCCATTTTGCGCGAAAATATGCTCGGACATTATCATTGGACATTATCTGTTCCTCGCTCTCGGAAAACTGTTCGCTTCTCGGAACAGATAATGTCCGCGGACAAATATCCCAGCATATTTTCGCCCCAAATGGAGGCTATTGTTTATATATAATATATGTTCCTTTCTTCTAGCCAGCTAATTTACAGACATGTCGCGAAACAGGTTAAACGTGCACAGCTTATCTGTTGCTAAATTGGTTAGGGTGCGTTCCTTATGGGTGATTTGGATCAGGATCAGTGATCTAAGATCACACGGATCATAGCATTGTTAATGCTGTTAGTACTATTAATGTCGAGTATTTACCTCTTAACTTAGTTTTTAAATAATGTTGTTATTTTGGTTGAATTTTAGATTTTTAATTTAGGTCTTAAGACATTTATAATAAGGCCACAGGTTTACTAATTATATTAAAGTGCAACTAACCCCAATTTTTTTTTCTCGCTTATTCCAAAGATAAATACCGATAGTTTAAAAGGTTCCGTGGCTGCGTGGCGCAGTTTGTAATATATACTAATTATACAACGATTTCGAGTGGTATACTGTGGAATACCCCACGAGTCACTTGAATTTTCTCGGTATACATACGAACCATTAGGCGAGCATGTATACCAAGAGAATACAAGTGACAAGTCGGACATTCCGTGGTATACCACGAGAGAGCGTTTGCATAACTGTTTTATACCATGCCATAGAAAATAGAGTGGCCAACACTCGGGGTGGGGGGCGGGGGTACTCCCTTATATGGGCTATACAGATATGTGCGGCCTCAAAGGGTAGGGTTTTTCAGCCGTTTTGGTCGTAAATAGGGTGTCGATTTTGGCCATTTTGGTCTTAAATAAGGTATGGTTTTAGCACTCTAGTCTTGAATTGGGTATGTTTCTTGGAGGAAACTGCTTTTTCATCATAATTATCAATAAGACCGTCAACAAAAGCCCTTCATAACTTATGTTTAAAGCAACTGTGCCAGCCGCAATGGTCATAAATAGGGTATCGAATTTTTTGGCAGGTCATAAGTAGGGTAGCAAAACTCGCAGATTTTGGTCATAAATAGGGTAAGGGTTTTGGTAAGTGGGCCGCACACCCCCATCCAACTTTTGTGGGAGTAACACCCCCGGGAGCCAACACAATACGCGAGGCGCATGATGGGAAAGTTGCATGTAATACCCTCGAATATGCAACGACTTTCCTGTATTCTGATTGGCTGTATTCTCTAGCTAGGGCATGGTATAAACTAATAATAATATATAACATATAGCTACATATACTACATAGTTTTATGAAGCACGTATGGCTCGGATTAACAGGAGAAACAACCAGCGAACTTCTCTCATATCTTTAATCTGTAAACGGTTCGCCTATTAAGACTTCTTCCTTCCTAACATATGTACTATAAAGACTGGAGGAAAATTTTGTCCAATGGTCCTTGTGTACTGAAAATCGAGTTAAGAGTTTAGAAAGGAGCGAGCTTTTCCAAACCCTTTTCTGGATTTCTTGAATCCGCCGATAGCCTGGTGCTAGCCTGCCATGCCACTAGCAGCTTACTAGCAACATAGTTTTCAGGTTTGCCAATATGACAAGACTATAGCC